ACCTGACATGTACGTCGACTCACCCTGAAGCCGAAGCCACCACCTGTTCGGTAGGACCAGTGCGAGTGTATGCTTCTGGTAGAGACCTGCTACGAGACAGTCGTTTCTTTGACGCCTTGTTAGACTTGTTAGACGAAGAAATGGACCCGTAAATTACTTCCCGGAGACGTCCGTGGTTGCCTGCCATATGAGTTATACAGACATTCCGTCTAGTTTACTTCTTGTATTTACTACTAATTTGTAGATAACTTTTCTCGTTTTATTTTATACTCGGTCAATCAAACAGTCAGCCAGTCAAATGCTGTGTATTCTGTTGTTACCATCATAGAAGAAAAAAAAACTTTGCTGTTTTACACACTTCTACATCGTCTGTTTTTGTATATGTATTGTTGTGTATAAGTATTGCGTAATGATTATTAAAACTCTGTGATATACGCTGTATTCTATATTGTACACGTGTTGTTTGTTTACTTGTAATGGTGTACATTTCGCATGGTCTAATGTAAATTACTTTATTTGGCGACGAACAATGGTTCCGCACTACAGAATTTCTTGAACCAGTGCTGCGCACTTTGACAGTCAGTTAAACTCTCATATCGTACATGTACTGATTTTCAATATGTCAGGTTCAAGTTCATACATGCTAAAAATGATCCACCGCTGTACTAGGCGGAATAAGGTGTGTTTGTTATGAAAATTCGTTTGAAGTTTTACAACAAAAACAAAATCCGTTAATATTTAAAACTCGACAGAATTACCTGTAGGCCGCAGTGACCTGAATCGAGCCGACTGTTGGTCGCGGTGAATGCCCACAATGATTGATTCAGGTGTTGTACAATAAGCCCGGTATACGCTTTTTTCCTTTTTTCAACCATTCAATTTCAAAATACCCGCTAAAATACGTTAATTCAATGCATTATAACAATGACACGATTGTCAATGTGTAAAGGTAAATAAAGTACTAGTAGTCACGACGGCGTCTCAGGTGTTAACTTGTACGTTATTCTTGTTGTAGCAAGTTCAGAGATACCTAACAAAAGAACACCTACATTTATTACTCCGTTACAGGTATAATTAAGCAACTTGACCTTGCGATGTCTATCATTATTGTTCCACGCCACACTTACTATCGTTTTATGTATACCCCAAATAGTGGCCGTGTCTGCTATAAAAGGTGCCTTGCAGAACATGCGAGATACAAGCAGTCATTTCATAGATAGACGGACGGCGACCAATAATTGCGACCGTGAATGGTAACTCAGTGACGGAACCGGTGACACAGGGGGTGTTGAGGTCGCCTCTCGCCGAAAAAAATGTTGAGGGGGCGTCGCTCCTCCAAATCAAACCTTTGTGTCAGCAAAATTAGCCCCTCAAAATGCAGGAAATAGCGTTTCAGAAGGTATAGATTTCAAACATTTAAGGTGGAGCATGCCCCGGACCCCCTAGTAAGGTTGCGCCTTCGGAGCAAGGTTGGTCATGCAAAAATTCGTGCCACCGCCTCTGTACCTGGCACGGTTATGTCGGCGACACCCTCTCCCAGTGTAAGGCTAACACGTTTCGAGTATGCAAGATATTTGCTCAGTTGACCCGTTCCGAATTATGACTCACATAAACCAATCCCATCCTGGATAAGCAAGCTGTAGTTCACCTGCATTGTGGCATTTAGACCACAATAACCATTGTATACGATCACTAAGCGTATCTGTTTGAGCGTAAATCGCTAATTGCTACCCGAATGCTTGTATTCTGAATGGGGTTCTGTATAATTTTTTTATAAATACTTTATAAATTACAAATGGTGAATAAACACAACTTAACCAATCACAACGCGATAACAAATGTGTGGCAATGAACGGGTGGGCAAATTATTGAAGAAAACTCGCATAGAATCATGTGTATCAAATGACTTCTATGTCCAACGAAAGCGTATATATTTCAAGGTATATGTTTATAGAAAACGTCACGCCTTGATGAAATTCCCTATAACAAACACGATCTGTGAAAATTGAAAGTGCACAGTGAGCGTTTTTTTTTCCGGCAGATCGTTTTTGCGCGTATTTAATATATAATAATACATATAATACAACTCGTTTAAGTTAATAGGCATCGATGATAATAGACAGTATTTATCGACTGACAGAAATCAACATTTCAATATTATTTCTGATATGATATGGCATTACCCTAATTGCAATTAGTTTATTGTTTCCACGCCAGTGTAAACTCAAATGTCAAGTGAAATATAGAGTCTGAGTCAAAGACGCCTGGTAACTTCACTAATATGCGCGAACAGAAGCATTCAAAATACGACACCAGTTACTGGTTCATTTGTAGTAGGAAACTATTATAAACACAAAAATAAACAACAACTTATCTTTGATGCATGGGAAAACCGAGAATCACGTAACACATGTCAATTGTTACTACAGCTCAGATGTGTTTCTCTCTGAATTTCAGTGATTCCGACTGTGGTGGCGCTAGTATAATACATGGTAGTTGACAAATGACAACTTGAATGCACTGCGTATATAAGGATTTCCAGCGTTCACCAATCAGAAATTCATGGCCGGTGTTTGATAAGTTTGTTTACTTATGAGTTAAACATTTTTTAATCGTAAAATAACGCTGTTTCTACAGCGAAATTAGAATGAAGTGGCACGTATTTTATTGCAGCATATATATAGTTCATTGCTACTACCATTCTAGCGTTCCAAAAGTAAGTCGTAAAAGTGTGTGCACCCGATTCGCTCGGCAGGTTATGCTCACACGGTAGACCAGTCTACAGCAATATTGCCAGACTGCCAACTCGAACCACACAAGTCTTAGATTTCTTTTTATCCGCTAATGCACCGTAAAATAAGTAGGTTGTTGGCCAGACCATACATAATTTCATAACATCGTGTTAAAACACGCGTATGTACTGTCTCTATGGAAACACTAGTGTGTAAAATCAGTAGAGCACGTGATTCGACCACGAACTCGATCACGTTTAGTGTCCAATGTTTACAAAATTACAACATTGGGTTATGAACATATTTACAATTTCAACGCGGCAGTAAAACAAAAATGACTCTTTTTATAATAATCTTCAGTTAAATAAACTATTAAAAGCAATATTTAATATGTTAATGGACTTTTACAAACAATTAATCGGATAAAATTCAAAAATATTTTAGTGACTTAGCCATTTTAAAATCATATCCCATTCATCCTTCTACATACATTTCTACGTACAAAGTACGTATAACCTAGTCCTGTATTCACAATTCTGATAAAGTATTTCAATACAAAAAGTTATAGTTTGAATGTATTTGTAGGTATCTGTGGTGGTTTTAATGAGCCTTTTGTAGTTTTGAGGTTGGTTCCAAGAACAGGCAGTCTGAAAGAGAAAGCATTTCCTATTATGTCTATGGAGCTCCGAGACTGATCGAAAGGTTAAGAATTGAATGGCTTCTTTGTTTGTTTATTCGGGGTATTATCATGATGCTGGATATTACACAGACATGGACGGTGTTAGTTGTTGCGCCCTCGTCTACGTCATTTCACTGTGACATTGTACTTTTATTTTGACAACAGATTTATTAAAATAACATTTAGAACATAAATTGGTCTTCCCAAAATATTTTTAAAAAAATCTTAAAAAATACCAAACTGCCGTTAAACGGCCCGGGCGAATTTATGGCAAAATCCGGTAACATGTGATACACTCATGTACTATTTTGTTTATACAAAATTTGTTGTGTTTCGAAAGTGTTTTTTGTTTTTGCTGTACAGCTTCCTCCTCTTGAAACAAGCAGTGCACACATCTTATCAGCTGTGTGTAAACTACAAACAGATATCTTATCAGTTGTTTGTAAATAGCTTAGCCCCAGTTCAGTTATGTTTGTTAACCATGAATATTAATGAGAAGCACTCATGGGGTGTACACTGGATAAACAAAAAACTTGGGTATTTGTTTGCACACAAGGAAAAAACCAGTTTACTTGTACAAGATATTATTTTTTCAATAAAATAAATACACTAATGTATGTGGCATGCCTTATGGAGCTATGCTTGTGATTTTCAAAAAAAAATGTGAAAAGTGCCCAAAAAACTATTCCGCTACCTTAAGTTACTGTAAAATACTCAATTTTCGTTTGTAATTGATTTTCGCTATTTTCGCTGAAGGGATTATTCAGTGCAAATAAAATCCAGCGAATATACATTTTTCCTATATGTTACATTCAACTCATCAAAAATCAGTGAAATTAAGAATATGGACGTAGGGTGACATGAATTGTTGATCTTTATTCGGTTGTGCATGTCAGGGGGAAATTCTCTTCCGCCCGCGTTTCAAGTTCTCCTTCACGTGTCAGAGGGGATGTTCGTCTGTCTCTATATCTCGTCTGCTTGAGGTACCGGACCGAGAAAGTCACTTAAGCTTTACAGTAAAATAGACGCACACAACGAAATACATATCAATAGCCGGTCTTTAGCCACATCGAGATCGCCCCCAGGCAAATTGCCTCGTGGGAGACTCTGCCCAGGACTGACAAAGAATCTCTCTCGGGCGTAACCTTCACACATGCACATAGCCAATCAAACTAAGTACTGGACACGTCATATCTTTTGATTAATCGTTCACTATATTAATAACTGCAAATACCAAGTAATCAACTAAATAAGTCGGACAACATATACGCGAAATCTAATTCATTATGACAGTTACATCGGGAAAACAAAGCCTAGCCAGAGCATACAATACAATGGTTGTTCCTGAGCGTTGGGTTTCTAACGCAAAAGAAATAGAATGCGTAAAACGATTTTTTTAAATTCTTTACTTATTTCACACAAGCTATGTCAACGCATATGGTACGCGTTGGTGTTTTTCTCTTTGTCATTTGTAATAAAGTGACAATGACCTGACTGCATTCAAGCGTTTCTAGATATCGTGAAGCGTCATTGTGTTTGAACACCGACCAGCGTAAAATCAGACCTCCTCTCCGCCGACACACATCAACATGGGAAAGATTTGGAAGATTGCAGCGGTGCTCACGGTCTTTATTGCAATGTACATTGCATACACACTGAGAGACACGTTTGATCCAGGTGAGGTAAAACAAGACGCCACAAACAACCGCACTATTACTTTGACTCGAAATTTTGATCGCAATACAGTGACACCATTTCACTGTGCATTTAGTAGTTTTGCACAACTTGTCTGTACTACGGAGCTGTGTATCACGGTTTCTAGTTCCATTGTAGTACCAATGGCCGGTGATGCTTCAACTCAACTGACATGAGTTAGTTGAACGCGTTGCATGCCATATTTGATGTGCGTCAGAAAATTAAAGGTGAAACGCGGCCGCGGAGTACATTTATTTGTGCACAATTGTTAAGGTCAAAGTCCGATGTCCAGCTAAGAGTACACAACTACTGAGTATATGCTCGTGAGGTTGTTGCAGTGTAATACCAGCTGTGTTTGCACGGTGACATTGTCAAGGGGCGTGAGCGAGAGCACAGTAGCACGTACCGTATTACTGCAACAACATCAAGGCTGTCTGTTTGCCCGTGTTTCAGACCGTTTCCGTCATTTTGCAGCCTACGTTGATATTATCGACTTCGCCATGCCACCTGGTTTCTTCAAAACTAATGCTATTCAGTTTATTTCATGGAAAAAATTATCGATTTATTACTTTTATTTGTTCATCATAAAATGTCCACTTTAATATTATCAGTGTTATGATTGATATTATTTTCACCAGTCGTTTCAAAAGTTTCAAGGTTGCAATACGTGTACTGTATTCATAGTTAGTTATCTTAAATATCAAACAAATGTTTTCAAATGTTTCCTTTATATAGTCCTTTACTGAATAGTAAAACAGTGCGAGGATACACAATAGGCTTTTATGGGACAGCGCCCTCTATCCAAGAAGTATATGGAGACTGGACGTGGCTAAATTGAATAAAGTTTATGCTGAGTGAAAAAAGTTCCGTGGAATAAATAAAAATCAAATGAAAAGGCTTATTTTTATGACCAATCGCTTTAATGTGCTAAACCCTACTTATTTTGGATTAGAAAATCGGCAAGACTGAGGTTAATAATTAGCAAATTGATGATATCGATGGAGCACCCCCTCAACTTAAGTAATTGATGAACATTGTTCTCTATTTCAGGAGTTGGTGAACAGTCCGATGAAAAGCGTTTAATAGTCGAAAATAAGTTGTTGCCAAACAGCGCCCTCTATTTATGTGGTTGAACAACGTCCTCTACTTATATAGCTAAAGAACAGCGACATAGTCATAGTCCGCACACAAATTAAACAACTTATGTTTCGTGGCCTTTAAATAAAGTGATAATTTGTTATTACAGAAAGCATACATGGAAAGCGAGTGATTGTGACCGGTGCAAGTACCGGTATTGGTGAACAAGTCGCCTACCAATATGCAAAGCTGGGAGCCAATATATTAATCACCGCACGGAGAGAAAACCGACTAAAAGAGGCGAGTGATATTATTAGCATATTCAAGTGTTCTGTAATTCGTCGAACATGTATATGATTTCCCTTGATGTTTGATACTGTGGCGTAGTTCAGTTTATCGCACCGTGTAGTGGGTAATACACGCTTCAGTCGAGGCCTACTTTTGTTTCCACTACACCACTACTGGCCTAACTCGTGCTGGTTATTTACATACATATCATTGACATAGACGTCATGACCACATTACATTAGGGAGCATGTTTGTACTAATAACCATCATGGTCCGAGAAGGGGCGCTCGCCCCCTCTGCCCATCAAAATCCTCAACTGCCAGCAATAGCGAGTTACAGCCTTAGTGGTTTACTACAAATACATTGCAGTCTTCATATGGATGAAACTCATCGTCCGCCTGCACGGTGTTGCTCCGTTCGAGCATTCGTGCTTCGCCGGAACATTCACCGTGAGATTTCAAGATGGATGAAACTGTATACTGTGACATACCCCATATGAATACAACAATAGTTTCAATAAAATAGAGACAAGGAGACAAGTGTAATTTTAAAGGTACAAACTGAATATTCGTCTCTCAAAACCATGAGTGGTAGAAATATACATGTATACTATGACATTTTCTGAAAAAGATAATTTCTTTATTTTGTTTATTTTCAATGCAGGTAGTAAAGAAATGTTTAGACTTGGGTGCTCAATCCGCACATTACATTTCTCTGGACATGCAAGTCATTAACGAGACTGGTAAATTGATAACTGAAGCTGAGAAGACACTCGGTGGATTGGATTATCTCGTTTTAAACCACGCCCTCTACTACTGGGAATTATGGGATGGCGATATAGAAAGACTTCAGGCACTAATGAATATCAACTTTGTTTCCTATGTGAATCTAGCAACCAAAGCACTACCCATGCTGTCTAAGTCTAATGGTAGCATCGCTGTGGTCTCATCTAGTTCAGGTATATGTTTTTTTTATGGAAACATCTATCTACATAAAGTATTTTTATATATGAAAAGAATTTAGGTTGAAAGTCAATTGGGAATTTTAAACACTTGTGCCCGCTATTACTGTGGGCCTTGTCCAAACTGCTGTCATAAAGACATTCCTACAGTTATCAGTTCATTACAGGATTAAATATAAAATCATTCTATAATAATCTAAACCCAAGCTATATCAGACCGACCAGTTCTCTTCGATATTCCGACAAGAACCTACTAAGTACACACAACACTGCGAAAAAGAATTTCAGTTTTCAACATTATGAATTCTTTCGTTTTTTGGGAGAAAATGTTTTAATAACAATGATTTTGACAAGATAATTCAAAAAATTATACCAAGAATAATTCAAAACGAAATATATTCCCTATGTACCCATAAATAATTATCGATTACACAAGAATACTACCGAAAAAAAGAAATTTGCTATATTCTCTATATTTTTGCTTGTTATTTGTCTTGAATTATGACTGAACGAAGCTGAATGAAATTACAAACTATGTAATGTGTTTAGCGACACATGTATGAACACTAACTTTTAATAAATATGATTTCCTATAGTAGGAGTGATGTGCTAAAAGTTGGACGGGCATCGAATTTGAGTATTTTTTTGTTACATTTATTTGATTGATTGCGTCAGCTACATTTATTACAGGCGCTGCTGATGAGCAAATTTATATGAATATTTACAAGTTTAGAACACAAAGCAAACTACTGACAACATTTGACAAAACAATCCTCAACATAACAAAACCTTAGCAATTACACTACAAACAAGTAGTATATATAACCAACTAAAACTAAAACATAATGTTCTCGATGTGATAAAACAACAATTATATTTTTTATAAATAACCAATTCGAGTTTTTCATATGATTATTTATCTCGGGTATGTCAATTGAAGCTTAATTGATTTACTCTTGATTCATAATTACCATGTGGATCCCAGCAGCAACGCATTTTACGCCTTGTATGTCAGAAGTGTCCAGAAAATGTGACCCTACATAAACGCAACCCTAACCAGCATGCTTATATTTAATTATAATCATTACATTGTTTTTCTTTCTATAGGTTTAGTCAGTGTACCTGCTGTTATTCCATATTCTGCCTCAAAACACGCATTGAATGGATTCATTGAAGGACTAAGACTTGAACTCGAGTATATGGGAATTGATGTAGCAATAACGCTACTTTTAATTGGTGGGGTGTCCACGGATCACATGATTGACATTGTACAACGTCGTGAAACCTTAGCACAGTTCGGTGAGCCAGCTGAGGCTGCCTCATTCATCATGAAGGCGGCAAGTTCTAAAAGGACAGTTGCTTACTACCCCTGGGCAATTGTCAGGATACCTGAAATAATACATACTATGTCACGTGATCTGAGTGATTTCATGATGTCAAGATGGATGTTTCCAGCTCTGCGAAGGCGGAAGATGTAGTTTTGAAAGATAAAATATCACTTGGCCATATTTCCAAAGACACTGTCGAACTATTCAGATTATAACAACTCATGTGCTTGTTTTTACGATTTCAGAATTGTTATTAAATGGTTTAACTATAATATAAATGTTTGTGAAATTTTGAAATTGTTTGTAGCAATGATTAAGGACAGCGTATAGGATATAACAACCCGTTTTCCTCTATCATTAAACAAATCAATAAGAAAGGTGCATGTCCATAGAATAATGTCAAAAGAAAATGACAGGGACAAGATTATTCTCATACATTGCAGCGGAAATTAGCGCAGTTCAACAATCGGATAGTGACACTGGTTTGATGAGCCAACATAAAGTAGTATCTCGACATAACACACACTGACTCAAAACGATGTAGCAGACGAGTATTGCAAACATGGTTTACGTGGATTACCACCAATCACAGTCACTCTACTGTGCACAAATGCATGAAGCCACAGTAGTCATCGCCTGGTGTTGTTAAACATGTGTCACCAGTTTGACTACTGATCATTATTGATACAATATTATACCGGCTTTACACTTGACAGGCTTACATCATTGTTTCTGTAAATAACGAAATAAAACAAACGCTGTTCATATTGAACTGTCGTCACGTGCATAATTAATTTCAACTCTACATGCATGCAGTAAGAATCGTGCAAAGATTAGCAAGAAAGCAATCTGAGTAGCGGTTTTCAAGAAGTGTTTTCTTTAATGAAATATCGATACCGGCGAAACGGACTTCAGTTAAAACATAACCTAAAACTGAATAGTTAATATTGGTATAGTCCATGATTTCGTCTATACATAATGTATTGACAATCTATTTAGTATTTATACATTTACAAATCTCGAAGTAAATGTACGGTATATACGTGAAGATTTGAGCAATGATGTTACTTTTTTACTAATATCCTAATATTATTTGCACTTGTCTTTTGAAGCAATTTCTTTAATATACGTTAATCTATTACACTTGTGGAAATAGACGTGATAGGCAAAGTAGTTCAACTCTCATACCAGCAAGGAGTAAAATATTGTACTGTACCGGTGTATGGAACAATATTTCATCCGAACGGAGGTCTTGGACGAAGAAGTCGAACAAAATTGCGTTTAAAGTTGCATTCCTACTTGTGAGAATTTCTGAAATATATATGATATACCTAAAACAACATTTGAACACTACTGCTCCTCCTACTGATTAACAGGAGATTATCTCCAATGCGTTTAGACTGTCGGGCCGAACGAAAGCCGAGATCTGCCAGGGTTCTATTCAGTTCGATTAGAGCCGAACGGAACCGTGCCCTCAAATAATTAGTATGAAAACAAAACATGGATGAACACGATTTTGGTGTTTCATTACTTGGCACGATGCTGTTGAGGTGTGTGAAAAAAAAGAAATTGTCACGAGTCTGAGCATGGAGTTGTAGAAAAGAGAATGCACTGGTGTTACGATTTAGCCTGAGGTACAAGTACTGTAAAGGGTTAATTATTCACTGGGTTTTAATTTAGCTTATTTCGCTGACTGGAAAATGCGTTAAATTACTAAAACCCAGCGAATATGTAAAATTGAGCATAGAACACATTATCTAAATGATAAAACAGTGAATTTAAAACCCACTGAATATGCCTGAAATGATAAATCAGTGAAATTTAAACCCAGTGAAAATTAGTCATTTTACAGTATCTTGAATAAATAGGAAACACGGCAGCTAAAATGTGTTGCAGCCTATTCATGCAAAATTACCATTTTGTAATTGTCCATCTGTTGTGATATGTGTAACAGTTGTCAATCCAAACATACTAGGAACATGTCACCGTATCGTGACCGCTTATACGATTTTTACTTCGGTGTCTTTAAAAAATTTCTTCAATTTTCATTGGATCTGTTCAGTCGTTCTTTCAAGTTTTTGTTGCATAATTTCGTACGCCAATTTTTCTGTTTCCCCTTGAGTTATCAATCTATCGCAGTAT